AATGAATTTAACTCAACGAACACAACAAATAACTCTGCCATTCACAATACACCCAATAATGATGAGGGATAAACAACAACAACACTTCCTCGTGAGACTGCAAACAACAAGAAGGGTGATGCCGACAGCAGCAGCAGTATCAGCAGTTCTGTGTGGGTGCGTGTACCACTACTGATTGTGGTTACACTGGCCTGTATTCTTGTGTGCTGATTGTAATGGTGGTGCTGGTGGTGTGACTGAGGTCATCCTTTGTTTTCTTTTCTTTTTTTTTTGCATGCATCCCTACAGTCTAACTAATCTTCCACCTGTTGGGAATTTCTCTTTTTTTTTGGTTTATTAATGATATTGTGTTTTGTGTGTGTTTTTACTCTCTCTATGTTTATCCTATAATAATTATTATTGCTACTCCATTTTGTGTGTGTGTGTGTTTTCTTCGAGACTCTCTCTCTGTGTGTGTGTCTGGGCTTGCACTGTGATGATGAACTGTTTTTTGCAGTGGGAAAAAGAAATAATAATAACAGATGAATTTATATTTATAATTGCGTATATACACACATATATAGACTTACACCCATAGTTGGTGTATTTCTCTGTGTTCACTGGGTAAATGGGGCTAATGATTAATGTCTTTCTTTGCTTTAGTGTGCGTGGGTCATTCTGTGCTTTTGTCCTGCACGGTTTTTGGTATTCTGTTTTATAAGAGCAAAGGAACAAATAGTAGTTAATACAATTGGTATTCGTAATTACTTGAACACACCAGCATACTCAGTGGTCTGTGAGTTATTTTTGTGCAGTTCGTTCTGCTCTTAATTTGTGTTTTTGTTCACGTTTTCTTTGCTTGGGCACTGTGTGCTTTCTTCTGCATTGGTGTGTGTTGGAGTGTTTTGAGTGGGGAGAAAAAATAATAATAAGGAATGCATAAGTATATTTGTAATTGTGCTTGGTCCTACAGGAAGAGGCATTTTGATTTATTTCTGTGATTTACTCTTCTGATGGTCGTTCTCTTTAATTTCTTTTTTTTTTTTTGGGGGGGGGGGTTCATTGGGATTATCTGTTTGTTATTGGGGTACCGTGTTTGTTTTTCCTTTTATTTGGGCATTATCTGAGTTATGATTGCAGCTTTTTTGCATGTGTGTGTGCTTCTGCTGTAATTGTTGTCTGTTCTTTGATTTGTTGTGTATTCTTATTTTCTTCTTTCCATTGATTTACTTTCTTTCTGTTTTTATTATTGGGTTTCTTTTTGTAAGCGATTGAAGTAAGACTACTACAAAAAGTATTGTAATGGTAATGATGCGCTACGTGCTGTGTATCCTCGCTCTCCTGCTCTCATGTGCGTGTGTGCACGTCCTCGCTGAAGAAGTGCCTGCCGCCGATCTTTCCGACCAAGTCCCTGATACGGAGAGTGAGACAAAGATTCTTCTTCAAGGTACTCCTGTTGCTCAAGTTACTGATGGCAGTTGCCCTGAAGGTACTGAGGAATGTCCGAAAGGTGAAACGAATCCTCTGGAAACACCTGTATGTGCACCTGTTCCTTGTACGAATTGCACTAATGGTACTTCTGAAGGTGCTGAACGTCCTGAAGGTGAGACATGTCTGGAAAAGGCCGAGGCTCCTTCCCTTAAAGTACCTGAGGTACCAAAAGAAGTTGTTCCTGAGAAACAAGTACCTGTTCCTGC